TTCCATTCCTTGTGAATAATTTTCTCACGCCTATCAATTTTGTATATACTTTTCGCAAAGTCATTCAACCAGTTCTTGGATCACTTCAACCATTGACCTTTTTCAAAAAAATAAAACACACACTTCTCTGTGGTTAAACCAGCCACAGTCTAACTATTCCATAACCACTTAACTTATTTCTAATACCAAATTGCAAATAGGTGACCTATATGAAAAAATAAAAATTAATTTCTGGTCATTGTTGTAAAACTCTGCCAAACTGTTCATAATGGAAGGTCATAATTTTAAAATTCAAGAAAATCTGATATTTTAGCTTTTTTCATTATGGTGTTTTGGAGTGCATTCTTGTTCAGACTGAGAACTTTTCAGTAGTCCCTCGTACATGCACACTTGGCCACAAAAGAGATCAGAGATAAATTCTCAATATAAATACATAGGACGAGAGTTAGATAAACATGCAACATTATTCATAGAAGTAGCTACAGAAAGAGAATAACATATAAGCAGACAAGTCAAAGAATGAACATACTCAAGACAATCAATCCGACATACCCAGGAATATGCAAGAAGAAACACATTCTGGGAGAGCAACCAGAATAGAGAACAGGAAATTAAAAAAAAAAAAATCCATTTACAATTTACAAATTTCTAGCAAATAAGATCAATGGATCATTTTAATTGTGCTAAATAACTGCATTTAATGAGGATCAATTAATTAAATGAGGGCCATATGCCCACCAGCTGAACAAGGAATTTATTAAGAATTGGAGACAATAATCAAAAACACGAACATTTTAGGTCCACAGTTAAAAAAAAAAAAAAAAATGTTAAATATGATCAATGAAACTGAGAGAAGAAATTTAGTTAAGGAAAAAAAAAACGGTCTATTATCTAAATGAATTTTTTTTTTTTTAATCATTTCACCCCCAAGCAAGGCAATAATGTCACTAAGACACAAGGTGTTAATGGAAGTGGAAGAGAAAAAGACGTTAATGAAATGCAATCTAATTTTTTTTTTTTTCAATGACATTTTGGTTTTGTTTAGTTTAATATTGGTATTTTTACCTGTGGCCTTTAATCTTATTACTTTTATAAATTTACCTTATTCTCTTGATGTCAGTTTAAACTGATACATTTGCTTCTATATTTTTTTTTTTAAGCAAATCACCCCAAGCAAGGCAAAGTGCCACTAGTACACAAGGGGTTAGAGATAGTGAGAGTAAGGGTAAAAGGGAGTGTTTGGGAAAAGGATAAAGAGGAGGACAGGGATCAAGGTCAAGGCATCAGAAGATGTCAATTGACATTACATTTGAATATTTGAAGATTATAGCTATCAGGGAAGCAAGTGATAGGAAGAGAGTTCCACTGATGGGAGGTGCGAGATAAGAAGCTGTTGGAGTAGAAGAGATGACTACATTTAGCCATTTCAACAGTGAAAGGGTGGATTAGAGATGCCAACCTAGAAGCACACTTAAATTCATACAGTTTATGATCCAGTGAAAGTAGCTAGTCAAAACATTTTGCTAAAAGCTGGTATTTTCTTGATCTGATCTGAAAACGTGGACATTTTCCAATACATTTCAGTGAAAGGTACACTTTCTGAAGTTATAGTTGATAATTATAGTTTAGATATATAGGGGGGGGGGACATCAGTTTAAACTGACACCAGCAGGATATGGATTAATTTAATAAAATTGCCTCAAAACAAAAACTTTATTATTAAAATCCTTAGAAAATTTTAAATTTCACTAATTTATTATAAACTAGTTGAGGTACCCGGCATTGCCTGAGTGTACATGGCTGCAATTGTATAACTGCACACCCTGCATTGGTATACTAAACTATTCACCGAACCTCATCTTTTTTGCGGTATGCCCTTTGCAAGTAGTTGATTGTTCTTAATAAGGAATATTGTGAATATGGCAATAAAGATGAAGACAACAGACTGAACAATGTAAAAGTTGCAATACCTCATCTCAGAAATATATATATATATATAATATATATATATATATATATATATATATATATATATATATGTATGTGTGTGTGTGTGTGTGTATGTATGTATGTATGGTTGGTGCATAATTTTTAAACAATATTTATGATGAAAAAAGAAACCTAACATTTTTAAATGATTATTCCAGAGCGTATGATTATCGACTCACATTTTTATAACCTGAAAATGAAATATTTTTATTAAAAAAAGTAAACAAAACAGCAATCCTTATTAACAAATAACTCGTCTACAAAAACGCCTGATAATTATGCACCAACCTCTCTCTCTCTCTCTATATATATATATATATATATATATCTCATTTAAGCATGTTATTATGCTTTGTTTTTTCATCATAAATATTGTTTAAAAATGCCTGATAATTATGCACCAACCCAGTATATACATAAAGGATTAATTTGACACTAAGCTAATGGATGTTATAAACAGTAGACAGACTTTCATAGGTGAATCTTTTTGCAAACATTCAACAGTTAACAATTGATTCAAGGTCATTTTTAAGATCAGCTGTCTGTATTTTCATTCATGTTCTTGATCATCTCTTTAATAAGCAGAACAAATACTACAAGCTCATATAGTAATTATCTAGATACTAAAAAAAAACTATAGTATTAGATTTGTGTAAAAGATTTAAAGCATATAAACTGGTTTTCTAAAAAAAGTCTATTCAGACTCATCTTCTAAAAGGATGTCAGAACTTCTATACACATTAAATACATTTAATCTAAAAAAATAAATATATATAGCAATTATCAATTTTAAAAAATAATAATTAAAAACCTTATCTTCTTAAAAAAATTACTTTCACTGCTTTATTGCTATTTTCATGGCAATTTTTCAGATGAACTACATTCTTTAGTTCTGCTGGTTCAGACCTTCTCAACTTGACATTACCATGCCATGAACACAAAGTTGAATTATCCTCCATTCTTTCTGTATTCCATTAATAAGGAGGAAGTTCCACTCAGACAGGTGCTTTGCCAGAACTGTTACATTATGGAACAGATTCTCAGGAGGATACTTCCCCAATTGCTATGATCTTAATCTTTTCAACATTGGGTCAACTGTTATCTATCCTACATATCCTCTCTTTACACCCTTACAACATCCCCATTCAGTAACCCTCTACCATGAGTGGCACTTAGGCCTTGTATTCAGTGAGTAATAGTAAAGAAAAAAAATGAGTATATTAGTTTGAATGTAAATAATGTAACAGAAATCCATGTTGCACTGCTATGAACAGGTTAATTTTATTAATAATAGGATGGAATCAATTTTGCTACAAAGAATAACTTGTATGTTTAACCACAAAAAGAATGCACTGGGCAAGTGGGAGGGGGAAACCAAAAAAAAAAAAAAAAAGAATAACATACACTTTCCCAAGAGGCTGAACAATTCTAAGAATAATATTACTGATAGCATCTTTGAATATATGAGGAAGGTTAGAGAACAGATTGGCTGAAACATTATAGTAACAAAAACAAACAATAAATAAACAAAAAAATGTGAAAAAAAGATTAATTTCTTTTAAAATACAATACAAACATGTTCCTAAATTTATATTTAGGAATTTATATTCACAGCATTTAAAAAAAAAAAAAGAAAATTCACTTTTGTTTAATAAGCATGTTTTTTTGGGTTTTTTTTTCAGCAGGCTGACACCAATAAAATAATTCTATTCTATTTCAATTCATTTACTTAATGACAATTTTTAATCAAGAATGCTTTCTTTTTTATAAACTATCATCAAGTCAGGGATCACTGTATTAAAAGTCCCATGACAATTTCTCGTCTCTGGGAACAGTGTAGTTTTAGAATTTCTGCAGTGATGGCTTCTTGTAAGGGAGATAATCCTCATTTCAACATGGCTTCTCTTGTTTTCATTTTGTTGCAATGTTGTTAAATTAGGCTACAAATAATAAATGAGAAGGACTCTCTCTTCATTAATAACTCAAATTAGCCCTGATTATTTTAAAAGTATTCTCCCAAAAGTCACAAATAGCAATATTTCAATTTTTGTTGGGTTTCCAAAAGTCTTGTTGCAAAACATGATGTTGAATCATTTGAAGATAGAGACTTTATTTGTACCCTACCTGTTTATACAATTTTTCTTCTACAGATTCCTATTTCTTCAAATATCTGTTCTGGTTCCTTATAGGCAAGAATTTCTATCAAGATCAGAGTCAAAAATTGAAAGAGAATACAACAAAGCAGCAACCAAACACAACCTTGATAGGATTTTGCAGATTAATTCCAAGGATAGTACTTTGGAAAGGATTAAAGTGATGATCCTGAAATCAAGCATGATTCTCTGGCTTAATCTGGCATATAGCCACATGATTTTGAAACACTAATTCCCATACAAAGTTAAACAATGTCAAGCTTGGTCAGTATCTAGATGGGTGACCGTTTGGAAACACCAGGTGCTGTAAACTTGGATATGTGGGTGGTGTAATGAATAATGGCTTGAAATTGTTAATCGGAGAGCTGAGTTCCAATTCCTGGTGATTTTGTTATATTCACTTATATGCACATATCCTTGGGTGAACAAAAATGATTACCTTGACATAGCTTTTCTTTGCCTCACCTTCTAGGAACAGGGACACTTTTACAATTTCCATCAGATAAGAATGGTCTTTGTATCTAGATTGGTGGTTACCAACCATTTTTTTTAGTCATGCTCCATCTAAGCATCTATAAAATCCTGACCACTTGACTATATGAGACTCTTAAACAATCGAGCAGTGACCCATTGTATCACATTTCAGCCATGTTCATCTCCAGGTATTGTCCACAAAACTTTAACCACAATCTCTGAGATTCAAACATGGTAATGAAATGTTTCTTTTTATACAAAACTTTTTTTTCCCCCCATTTGTAGCCTTTTGCAAACAAGATAGAGATTTATACTTTTTTTTCTATAATATTTAGTGTTTGGAATCAAGAAACCTGCAAAGGAGATAAAATTCCTGAAAGAATCTTACTTGTCTTCTCCAAGAACAACACCAAAGCCAACATGTTCACATCGGACAATGTTCTTATCAAGCCATCCAAGCATTTCTGCAGCAGAAAACACTGTATGGAAGTGGGTCGACTAAAAAGAAAAGGGGAGATTTTAGTTAACTGAATATACAATGCACATAAGAAAAATAAGAATACAATCATTTTAAATGCATAGAAGAGACATGACTATTCGTGCCTTTAGTTGCCAATTGTTATATATGTGGCAAAGGTTGTAATGAACTAGATACCACATGTCTCATGGAATACATTTTTGGGACCCTACAATATAAAGTTCAGTCAAATTAACACAATTTGTTTTTGATACATTTTACCTGCATTTTAGTCTCTGTGCTCTTAATATTGAATAATGCTAACAAAAAAAAAAAAAAAAGAATTTTCTTCCACATCTTTAGTGGAAGCTCCAAAATATTAAAACAATTTAAATTTGCAAAATTGTTCTTGGGAAGATACTTAAAACTTACTCAGTTCTTTTTACACATTAAATTGATCATTACCTGCTTTTTGGGAATCAAATATCAGTTTTCAATATTACTTTCCTTGTATTTATCAGAAAATCCTTGTCTAGACCTCTAATCCAATGTTTTTGCTGGTGCTGAATCCAAAAGAACTCTAAATGGGCTTGATGCAAAGTGTAAGCCCTTTTCAGAAATTTTGTATTTTCACTGTAGACCACAGTTTTTCAACCTAAACCTATATTTTTTTTTAATTGAAAATTAGAATGATTAATTACAATTGTTGAAATGGCTATATGTAACTGTAAGTTCAATGCCAACAGTCTCTTCTGTTGCACTTCTCGCTTGTAAAATTCTTTTCTAACGTCTTGCTTCGCAGTCAAATTTGATCTTCAAAAATTTAAATGGAATATCAATCATCTTCTTCTGCCTTCTTAATTCTTATTCTTTTATCATCTTTTATCCTTAAGTGATTTTTTTCTCATATTCTCCAACACTTAGTAACCTCTTGTGTTCTAGTGGTTTAATTGCCTGACTTGCTTGGGGTGAAATAATTTTAAAAAAGAAAACATAGAAATGTGATCTGTTTTAATCTTCCTTTAAACAGATCGTGACAACTATTGGGGAGATGTGATTAAATATAAATTAATGTTTAAAAAAAAAAAATTATTCAGTATTATCATTGTTTAGGTAATAAGCATTATGACATAGCAAATTTGCAAATTGCTTCCCAGGACACTGTCAGCAGTGAGTTCTGATTGGATATTTGGAAAAATCCTGGAAGTCTAAATCACATCAGACCCTACCTCGATGTTGAGTGAGGGTCTATAAAAGCGTTAGATTGGAGGAGAATTGAGAGTAACAGCTGAGGCAGGGACTCACTTCCATAACATCAGGAGGAAACAATCGCTTCGCCAATCCCCATGTGACTTGCTGCTATGGAGAATTACTGGCTCATGCCTTGTTCTAGACTATTAGATAAATTGAACAGAGTGCCCTAACAAAATTGCAAAGTGGAAGAATTGGAAGCCTCTATATAACAACGGCAGAGAGAGAGAGAGGGAGGGAGGGAGATGAGTGCTTTGTCAGTGTCCTGCAATTTGATGACTGAAGAAGTATCTGACTTAAAGCTTGAAACCTCAACTGAAAATTAGAAATGAAGAACAAAGTGTCACAAAATTAAACTACAAGGGAATGGTTGTTGGCCTGCATGCTTGTAGATTCTTATATGAAGAAATGTTCCAGTATAAACCTCAGTTATATAAACCTTGTTGATCTACACAACTTTTTTTTTGTCATATAACATTGTCACGCCTGAATGACAACAATCCAGTGATATCTGGTGATGATTCGATCCTTGCCTGCTTTGTGATCAAAACAAACACAATGTGGGACTGGGAGAAGCTTGCATCGAAGTGACAAACTCCACAGTTAATCACATGATTCAATCATAGACGCACCAGTGACCGAAGACAAAATGGTGTTGTCATTAGTGCAAAGGCCAGGATGTCCCACAGCATTATATTTTAAGCAAACCAATTCTTCAGATATTAATAAAATTCTTGAAATTCAAAGAAATAAATTAAATTCGATATCTTGAAAACTTAATGCAGGAATGATGGTGCAATCTTGCTAATTAATAAACATGGCTGGGTGTACACTTATTTAAATTTACTTTCTCCACTTTATCTGGACTCCCTCCATGTTTATTAAATTTACATAACAGCAAACAATGCATGTCTTGAAAAATTAATGTTTATTAATCTTGATGTTTACCATGCATTTTTGTTTCTTTTTTTCTCATTTTTTTTCTGTCTTTGAGGCACATTTTTTTTTTAAAAAAATGTCAGAGTGCCCTCCTCCACTTTATTAAATTTTGGGAAATTAAAAGACCTCCTGAGACACATGCCTACCTTGATACCCTAGCCAATTATTTGAGAGACGTAGTTAAGCATGAGGCTATCAAATTTGTTATGAGTCCTAATTCCTCATTTTACCACCACCTTTTTTCATCTGACAAGTCCTTTTGGTACAGCAGGATGATCATGGCTTTCCACAACTTCCTGTCTTTTATTGCTCTAAGTTACTTCTGACTGTACCATCCACCTGTCCATGTTTCACCATTCATTCACTTACATTCATTAAGTAGGTCACCTGCTCTTTCCTCTTAATAATTCTAATATGTCCTGTGGGTGTTAAATTTTCCAAGTTCTCTTTCCTTATTAAAAATTTCAGCTTTCTCTTTCTACTTGTAAGTCTTAGTTTCCTTGTAGTTGCTTAAAAAATATCCTTGTGTTCTGTCAATTGTATATTATTCCACTGCTATCTTCTGAAGCTGAGATAGTTAAGGCATAGTAAGTGAAGGAGGACAAAATCCTGAGCTATCAAATCCGAGTACTAATCTGAAGATTTCATTATATAAAATGATTTGGTCAGTAAAGCTCATATAAACGCCTGAACTTTCGATAATCTGTTTCTAATGTTAATAAGGAGATACTGAAAATTTTAGTCTACCAAAATGTATATTTTTTTCTAAATGTTCACCCAATAGGCCAGAGAGTGAATTACTGAATGGTGCTGTTGTATGGATATAAGGATGAAGTAAGTGATGATTATGAAGATATACAAGATAAATAATACTTTTTATGAGAACTGCGAGAGAAAAAAAAAGTTTTCTTTTTCTTTGTGCCCTGTCCCTTCAGGACGTGGGCGATCATAGCTCTTCACAACAACATATCCTTTGTAGCTCTTATCAGTGTTTGCCTTTTTATTATTCCTCCTTCTCCCTGTTCTGTCATCCATTTACACAAGATTGTTAGGTAGATTACTCATTGTTTCCCCTCTGTCCATCTTGTCTCCAATATGTCCTGTGAATGTTAAACTTTTCAAGCCTTCTTTCCTCATTACGTGTCCTAGAAATTTCAACTGTGTCTTCCTGAGTCTAAGCATAAACATCCTTTCCGCTTCTATTTTTGTTACATGCTCTATCCATGGTATTTTTCTAGCATCTTTCTGTAGAAGCACATCTCTGTTGCCCCATCTACTCTTCGTCTACATGGAAATTGTCCAGCATTTAGTACCATTTAATAGGATTGATATTAAATAGTATTTCAGCACTTTTTTTCTTTGTTTCTAACAAAATTTTCCTGTTTCTTAATATTTTGATTAGCTTTTGGAAGCCATCTTTTGCTGTTCTAATGTATCTGCTAATTTCAATATCACATTTTCTGTCCTCTGTTGAAACACTTCCCAATTTTTGTACTTACTTCATTTTGACGTCTTCAATCCACAGATGCATCCTGGGCTGTTCCTTTTCCTAACAACTATACAGTTTTCTTAGTACTGATGATTAGTCCTTTCTACCTTTACAAGAGTTAGATCAAACCAAGTGTAAGGCTACAAAATGTGATTATCTCCTTTTGGCTGAGATAGTCACGTGATGGCTGCTTAGTGACATCACTTCATACTGTGATGAAAGTGGTCAGTCATTCATTCAGTTACTAAGCTTATTGATGTCAAGACACACATGATGTCCACCCAGGGCAGCCAGTTGCCAAATGCTACAGCTTACAAATCCATTGTGCTGTTTCTCTTTGGGAATATATCTTCCCCATATATAGAAATCTCTGACTAGCAGTTGTCAGTTTGGAAAAACCCAAAACTTGCCATTTTTAGTTAATGAAATATGCACTTGCTTGAATCCAGTGTCCTAAACATGGCTTCTCCAAAAACACAGAAGAATCTCCATATTATATGCAAGACCCATCTTTTTGTTCTCCTTTCACTGTTTGATCGTGTCAATATATGGTATATTACTCTCTGCGTGGGACACATGTAAATGTGCATATATAGTTTTGCGTATGTTTTAGTGCTATAAAAGTCTCTGTGTACAAAGAATGTTTGTTATTCTTTTTTCTTTCAGTCATTCCATTCAGTCTGTGAAATACAGTGTTATTATATTGTGGATACAATATTGCCTATAATGGGGGAAATGAAAATGGGAGAGTAAACCTTTCTTCCATAGCTCTCTCATGTTATAGGAGTATTGCTATTATATCTGGGCTGGTACTATGCAGACCTCACTGTCAAGTCTTGACAAAGTTCAAAATGTTCCAAAGTTTTCATTCCCTTTGCTGTGGCCAGGTATTGAACTTACAACACATTGGGTTTTGTAACTTTTGGATCAATCAATCCACTGGGCTATGTGTCCTTGGAGTGTTAAGTTCAATCAAGGGGAATTAACTGAAACTTAGATATCCAAAATCATGGCACATGGAGTTAGAACAATCTAGCCCAGTGAACTAAATAAAGCATTCCATTCAAAATTCCAAGAAATATCACCTGAAGAAGGCTAGATCATACAATGATCGAAATCTTATGAATATGGCAATAAAGTCCAAATATTGTAGATACAGTGTAACCCGGATACAAGAGACCCAGATATAAGAGAGATTTTCTCTGGTCCCAAATTAGAGCCTGTGTTAATGTATATAAAATAGACCAAACCCGGATATAAGAGACTTCTTCTCCGGTCCCGACAACTCTCTTATATCCGGGTTACACTGTAGTTACTAAATCCACATCTTGATTTTTTATGATTTATTCAGGGTACATGCCATCATTGCTTTCATTCCAAATCCAGAGCATAATTTCAGTTTTGGAAAGGTTTTATCCTGAGTCCCATTCCTTTGAAACACTTGATAGAGGATGTGGATTTTTTTAATTTTTTTTTTATTTTTATTCAAGGTTATTTTAATCCCAACTACAAAAAAGCTATACTGTCAACATATTCCCCTTCATCATCAGTACATTGGCCTTGGGAGGGAAAGCAGGATTGTTGTCTTTTATTAGTAGATTCATTTCGGATGTGGTATAAATTGCTTAAATAAGGCGTGTGAAATGAATGTAAGAGAAAGAAGAAGAATATGAGGGTGAGAGATAATGATCGTCTCGAAGAGATTAAGATTTTAGTGTTCAGAGAAGCATCCACACAGGATTTTATTCCACAGAGGAGGCAGTCCTTGGGGGGAAAAAATGAGTGGAATTTCTTCATTTAAAATTGAAAACTGAGGAAATGTAGGTGATTTGACTCTGTGGACATAGCTTGGTAGGTCCTACCTATAAAGGCTTGAACTGGTGGAAATTCATCTGACCATGGAAATATCAATAGATTAGCAATAGTCTGGTAACATTGCATTTGTGGGAAAGAAGCTGAAAAATGAAAAATAAGTCATCCCTTACAAGAAATAATTTTGAGGCTGGTAAGTGATACATTGGAAGCTGTTGATGATGGTAACCCAACCATCAAAGAGACTCAGTGGGCACTTCCAGGTTATCTGAAGAGCATGGGAAATGAGAAGGTTTGGGAATGTGTCAATATGGGTTCTACATGATCTGTCAACAGAGAATCACAAATATGTTAGTTATTTTGCATTTTTATATTCATGTCAGCTTCAAGTAGTTTTCTCAGACAGAGTCATTACCAAAAATGAGAAGTGGATCCTTTACCACAATGTTAAGCAGATGTGTCGGTGAAAGGCTTGTTTAATACTGCATCCAAGAAAGATTTGTATGCAGATTATCATTTATTACAAGTTGTTAAACAATAATCAAACCATCACAACTGACATTAAGGCATTTAAAAGCAACCTTGAGGTGGGGGGAGGGGGTTATATATATCGTTAACAAACAGAAAAAGAACCATCCTTCACCATGATAGCACCCAACACCATATTTCACAAATGATCAAAGATCTGTAAATTTAAGCAGGGAAAACTGCTTCAACCACCATATTTCTTGAATATTGCTCCTTCCAATTGCCATCAGTTTACAAAGCTAGGTAGATGGATTTCAATCAACTTTGAGAAACAGTAAAAGAAAAAGTTAGTCTCTTAATTCAGGTCAAAACCTAAGGAATTTCATATATGCAACATTAAAAAGCTTGTTGACAGGTGAGATAAGGTCACTAAAAACAATGGTTACTATATTAATGATTAAATTATTAATCACTATTTTGGTTCATTTGTCATAAAAAAAAAAGTTTTGGAAAGCTCACCTGTCCAGCATCAGTGACGTAGATTAACCATGTGCCATTCTCATCAAACAACCTTTGATGTATGGTGGCCACATCAGAAGTGTCATAAGTGAATCCTCCATCTGATTTAATCATGATGAGTGGAACTTTGAAACCAGGACAAAACATAACTTTCATGCCATCTTCAATCTGGATATGTTCTGTTAACAAACGGAATATGACAGGAACAAAGAGTTAAAAGCTTTCGGAAATAAAAGTATGTTTTGCATTTGTCCAAAACTTAATCCTTGGCAGCACAACAAAAAAAAAAAAAAAAAAAAATAGTATCTGTGCTCTGAGAGAGTTGAAATTAAAATCAGTTTTCTCTAATACAGTAAAAGTAAAAATAAAAAAAATGATCAGATGTGTAATATGAATTATGTCACTGATCCAGATGTTGTTCTTGTAAAATTCTTTTTTTTTAGACAACTTTGAGCCATCAGCAAAACATAAGGTAAAAAAATACAAGTGGTTATTGCTGAAAGAATCCCTTCTACCAAGAATCTGACATTTTGGGAGGAGGATCAGACTGAAATCTTTTTGAACACCCCCTTGTATATACAAGAAACAAACATACACACACAAAAAGAAAAAATCACCTTATCAATATAAGGAGTGACTGACAGGTTTTGTAGAAAGTGTATAGCAACTTCATATGTTTATATAGACTACTATATAATGCACATATCTGCAAAGACTCAAAGAAGTGCTGAAAAAATCTCAGCCCAATCAAGATCTGATTCTTGGGCACTTGGTAAGATTTTACCTAACATTATTAACCTTTAGCACTCTGCATTAATATTACTTCCTTTTCCACTGCATTATTTTTCAATACTGCACAATTGCAATATCCTTATTGTTAATTTCATTCAAAGTTATTTTCTGTTGTCATAGCAGGATATAACAACACAACTATTAAATTTGAACACACTATTGTTCAAGGATCAGAGTTATCTTCAATGGCAAGATAAAAATGAAGTCACATACAGAGTGATAAAGGTTAAGACACCGAAATGCAAAGGCCAATAAACATAAATTTACACCATTTAAAAATCGGAGATGTCTATTCAAACATATAGTATAACCTATATACTTTACTATAAACCTCTCAAAAATTTGATTCTAGAGATTACTGGTGCCTCTGCAAGAGTGTACTAAGCAAGAGTAAATTCTCAGTCTCGCCTTCTCTTCAATCAATTTGAAGTGTTGTCCTCTATTGCAGATAAAGCAGAGTGCTTTGCCCAGAAATTCTCTTCCAGTTCTACTCTCAACCTACCTGGAATATCTCTACCTCATTTTCCACCCTAAAACAGAATCACTACTGAGTGATATGCCCATAACTCCATCCATGGTTTCTGCTGTCACTTTTAAACTAGATCCCAACAAGGCTTGCAGATTTGACGATATCCCTGCAATTGTCCTAAAGAAATGAACTGACTCCTGTTCTCTCCAAACTTTACAATAAATGTCTCACTACTTCTTGCTTTTCAATTTGTTGGCAGTTCTCCTCTGCAGTTCCTATCTTTTTACCTACCTTACAGAAAACCTATTGCTAACCCCTTGTATGTACACCCTAGGTCAAACCATCTACAATTAAGCATATACCCTCATCAATAGAGAAAAGAATCAGCATGAACTCTGCAAATGAAGAAATATTCCAACAACACAGTAATTTTTACAACACAGCTCTAAAAATATAGTGGATACAAAAATGCTAACATCAATTATAGAAACAATAGTACTAACCAGAAGAAAAACAGGAAAAGAAAAATCATCTGATATACCACTCTGTTCAACCAAATGGTTAGTATTAAGCTAGGACAAAAATTCCTAGCATTAATTGAAAAACACTTTCTTACTGATAGCAAACTTAACAAGATCTTTAATAAAAAAACACCTTAAAATTAAGCTACAGCTGCACTGAAAATCTAGAAAGAATCATAAAAAAAACATAATAAAATCCTGGAAAACATGCATGCCAAAATACAATTAATAAAAACCCTAAACTAAAATTAGACAAAAATAATGAAAAATTATGGGATTGTAGAAACCCTGAAGACTGCCTGTTGAAAAATAAATGTCGCATAGAATCTGTGGTATACCAATGCACAATCTCACCCACTGAGAATCCTAACATTGAAATGATATATATAGAATCCACGAAGAATGAATTTAAAATTAGGTGGAGACAATACAAAAGCTTAGAAATAGAAATCAGACATCCCTATCTAAATATTTTTGGCATTTAAAAGAAACAAATAAAACACCAAAAGTAAAATGGAAAATAATAAATAGAACAAGAACTTGTAAAACCTGGGATGACCCATGCTCTTTATGCCTACATGAAAAACTACACAGCAAGTTTCTAAAAAACAAAAATTTATTAAATCATAGACATGAGTTAATGGATTTTTGCCGACATCAACAAATTTTTGCCTTAAACTTTTTTAAATTTCATAGTCTATTAACAATTTCAATTAAAGCAATAGATTTAAAAACTTAACCCAAGCATCAGAAAAAAAAACCCTTTATGAAGTCATCAAAAAAACAAATTGTAGTTTAATACAACATATTTATATACAAAACAGCCCTTTTAGAAAAAAAAAAATCTTTAGGTATACAAATACAAATTTAACAGCGTAACAAAAATGCCAATAACTCTCTGTCATTGAAATAGACCAGACAATATGTGTCAAACAGATATCATCATTCGCTTGAAAATAGGCACCCTGACCCTACCTTGATTTAACCTCTTTCTGAATGTAACTAATATGTTGATACAATAGTTGTCAGTGAAAATGTAAACCCTTACATTGATTATTAAAATAATTGGTTTTGCCATTTCCATAGTAATTAATATTATGAATGTATATGCTTATAAAGCTCCGTAAATTTCAAGATTAGTTATTCCAAAATTCACTTGAGGATGAAACAGAGCTGGGTACTTTAATTCAATTTAATTTCTATAATTAAATTGAATTTTTTAGCTTCTGTTTTTAAAACATGAAAATTCTTATGTAGAGATTGAATAATAGTTTTAAAAAAAATAATTATAATTTAGGCTCTACTTGTGTATAGAGTACCGTTTTTTAAAATAAAAACAAAACTACTAAAGAACTTCAGAATATTAACCTAATGGTTCTTTCTTATTTTTCTATATATTTATACACACACATATATATAAGTAAAACTATAAATGTATATATAACTGAAACTCTCTCTCTCTCTCTCTCTATATATATATATATATATATATATATATATATATATGATAGATATTACAAATACAGGGTGCGATGGATAAACTGTCGCCATTTTATATTTTTAATTTATGCATGCAAACCATTTTTTTTTCTGATTTTGTCGATTGCACAGTAGAGTAGGTTCAGTTGCGCACCATCTGTGAGAAAAAAGCACCATGACACAATTCACTCCACCAGAAATTTAAAAACAGCATGCTATATTGCTTGGAATTTGCACCAGAAACTCCAATACAAACATTTCAGAGTGTTTGGGTGTCAATCTGGGGACAATGCAGATGATTTGGAAAGATTTGGATTAGTCTGATGGTGATAACGAAGGTACAGCAGTTCAGAAAACTCACTCTGATCATACTGTTAAGAAAAGAACTCCGAATTTGTTGGTGAGGGCCTCAGATTCAACATGGAAGCCTGTATCAAAGTACCTTGAGGAGATAGTGCAGCTCTGGGTCAAGAGGGTGGCTACTGGAAGACTATGCCTGGAAACAGGACTGTGCACCATGCCATACAAGCAGAATAATCCAGTCATGGCTGTCAGACAATTTCTGCAACCACATCACCTCTTATATCTTACCTCCCCAGACTGCAACCCACTTGATTATTATGTGTGGGGCACAGTTGAGTGAGACACCAACAAAACTACTTGTAACACCAATGATAAACTGAAGGCAAAGATTATATCAGCATTCACCAACTTAAACAAGGAGACCATTCAGAAGCGTTTCAGGAGATTCTGAAGTCATCTGGAGGCCATGGTTGAAGCCAATGGTGATTTTATTGAATAAATTTACTCTTTAGCATTTCAAGATATTTTCATGTAATTTTGATAAATATATCTGTTAAAATGAAATTTCTGTTATTTTCATTTTTTGCATAATTTAGATGACAATTTATCCATTACACTCTCTACACACAATAATGTTATCTTCTAATTACATTGTAATGCTCCTGCAACTATCTCAGCCTCATTTAACACCTACTGCAAAAGTAAAAGTAATAAAGTGATTTTCCAATGCCACAATTTTTTTTCTTTGCCAGCTTTTTTTCAGTTACCTTAAAAAAAATTATTTTCTCTAAAAAACTGCAAAAAGAGGAAATACTGCTTTCTCTTCTTTAAATGCTTTTGCAGAAAAGAGAATTGAAAAATCAACTACAAACCTGACATTTGTAACTCTGGCAGAAGTTGAGTCATTCTTTCTTGGTAAAAGGACTCTCCACGGTCAATGACTTTAATATTAAGGCACTTGTAGATTTTCTGAAAATCTGGAAACAAAAAATAAAAAAAACAATATTTAAAAAAAAAAAAAATCCATTTCTGTCTAAATCAAGTTTTTGTGGGTTCAAAGGATTTTGTCTGACAATGTTAACTCAAAAATATGGTCGTTTTCATTAGTCACACATATGTCACATCTACATTTCAAATATTATTTTTATAAAACTGGTGTCTACAGGACAGTCATAAATATTAACAGTGTAATAAATATACAACTAAGGATTGTACATCTAATAATGTGCATAGAAATTCTAGTTGTGACTAACCATCCTACCGTCATCATTTTTATAAAAATAATACAACATTTGATTAACCAATATACTCGTGAATAACCCTACTTCATGTATAGTGCAACCCATAAATTTTTTTGGTGAAAAAAAAAAACAAAAAAAACAATCATGATTTTTTTCATATAGTTTGTGTATAAAGTGACCCCAGCTTCTAAGCATCATTAGTAGTCAAATATTGCAGTATTTGGCATCATCCTGGGCATGGAAATAAATGGTATTTATTCTTTCATACAAAGATACTACAAAATGGTGAGAAAGACTATTTACCATAAAATATCTGATACAAAGATTTAGATACTGTACTTATTGTTTTCGTTCATACCTGACGACAGCAACTCTTTTACTTTGAGCCTGCCTCCTATGTAGCCAAAGTTTCTTTTCTTTTCTCATAAATGTTCTGTATAAAAACCTATTTTCTTCAGCATATTGTAAATAATTTCTTCTTATAGCATGTACCATAATACTTTTTATATCATTTATATATGAATAGTGGGATATGTTTTGATAATGCTCTTCAATTTTGTTGATTCTTATTGATAATATTACTATATACCATAAATAAGCCTACTAGAATTAAAATTCATTTGGTATTTCACCCAGTGCAATCATTATTTACCATGCATTGTGATGCATCTTAACAAAATATTTTTTAAATATGTTTTGTAATGTCAACAAACACTCATTGCCACTTTTGTAATATTCACTGTATTAAAGACTTTGAAATCGCAGATACATCTATAGTAATGCCGTTGAACAATATTGGTGTCGGACCCCTTCAAATAATACTAATAGTATTTGCTCGATAATACTCACTCAAAAATAACCACCAAATAGTGGTCATAATAGTAATCTGTATAGTGATCAGTATAGAGAATCAAAATAGTAGATAGAGTAGAGAATAGTGATCCATATAGTAATAGACTATAGAATAGAAATGGTGATCAATTAGATGCCATGCTAATTCCCATACATTTCCTTTATGGTCATGTGATGTACTTATTCAAAATGGGATCACCTGTGTTTGCTCTCTGGTGATTGGTGTTCAAACTCAAGTGTTAGCAGTGACACTTTATTCTTATATAACAAAGAATTATAAGATAATAGAGTGTAACCCGGATATAAGAGAAACCCGGATATAAGAGAAACCCGGATATAAGAGACTCCTTCTCCGGTCCCGACAACTCTTATATCCGGAATAGAGTGCAACCCGGATATAAGAGAAACCCGGATATAAGAGACTCCTTCTCCGGTCCCGACAACTCTCTTATATCCGGAATAGAGTGTAACCCGGATATAAGAGAGTTGTCGGGACCGGAGAAGAAGTCTCTTATATCCGGGTTTGGTATATTTTGTTTAGGTAAGTATGGGCTCTAATTTGGGACCAGAGAAAATCTCTCTTATATCCGGGTTACACTGTACGGTATTTACTCATTAACAGCTTGTTTAAGGAACTGTCATTTTCAAAACAGGTGTTTGTTTCTCTTGAATGCTTCTGAGCTCTTTAGTTCATTTATGCATTTTTCAAAAGAAATATGTCAGCATGCTGAGAGTGTGAAATAATTTAACTTTTTCTGTTTGTTAAACCATTTCATAATTTTCAGTTTCTCCTCCATGCACATATTGCAATTTCTTGTTTTTTTTTTAACTTCTTTTATTATATCTCATTCTGTTACTAGCGTTTTCCTTTTCATTTTTAGTTCCCATTTTGAAAATCACACTACAAGAAGCAGGCTGTGAATCGGCAAATAAAAAAAAAAAAAAAAAAGAAGTTACTTTTATATGTATTAAAAAGCTCTTTTCAAATTATCTAAAATAGAGCACTCTTACATAAATAAAAAAAGATGCACGCATGATGGCTGTCAACTCATTAAACAGGTATGACCATTGCTGACATGTTTTCCATCTACTCAGGTTTAAGAAGACTTTTCCTTCTCCTAATCTGGTTGTCAACCAACGCTGAAGAGCTTAGTCTATCCTACTATTTAACCTATAGCTGAGGGATAGATAGATTCATACTTTTTCTAAGTGTATTTACATGAAAGTAAATGTGATAAAATTGACTGAGATTCAAACACAGCTCACCGAATTCTTGTTCTGAGCCACTAACCATTATACCACTCACATATTCCGACAATAGATGTTGAAATGTCAGCAATGCTGAAATTCTGAGATTATAGTTGTGCACTACTTGCACAACAATTCACACCAACAATGCCAAGAATCTCAGAGACAAGTAGATGCAAGATATCTGAATTTGCATTAAGGCAGGTGTTACATCAGAGTTTCCTTTCTCCTAGATAGATACCTTGTCAAAGGCTTGGGGGTTCACCACTCCCAATCGGCAAAGTGTGTACCTGGATACCAATGCAGGTATTTATACATTTCATGCATACATATATAACTTATTCATGCATACCCAAGCAATGTTGAGGTTAGGGATTTTGATTAGGGTAATAGTAATATTATCCATTTCCTTATAAGGAAACATTCACTGATCAAGCAGCCAGTACAGCTGTCAGTAGAAATTTATAAAATCTTTCTCTTAAAACAATTTTTCAGGAAAATAGATATCTCAAGTCCAGCAACTTTTTCCAGTATTGATTGAAGGGGGGGGGGTCTTACTAGCCTTTTATTTGAAGTACCGTTGAACATCAACATCTATCATTGTTTTCTATTACTGTTCCATGTACAGTTCTTTGTGATTCTATAGCACCAGTCCACAAAGTTCTAAGAAGGATGCTCTTCACTAAGATTCACAGGCTTCAATTTGCTCAAAGCCATTTTCAACACCTGATCTTAGAAAGCAGTATACAGTTGACAAGTTAGATATTTCTGAACTAGTTTGGTGCCAGGTATGACATTCATATGATAGTGTCAATCTGACTAGACAATTTAAGTACACAAATCCAGTTATCAGGTTCATATTTTGGTTTTGTAGAAATCTGCGATGTTAGACAAAACTATCACTTATAATCTCTTCTATGTTCAATTACCATATCTCCCATACTAAATTTTTTTAATAACCATGGTACTTGAAGTGTTTGGTATTTACTAATTCCACATCCTGACTTTTTATCAGGGATTCAGTGTATGTGCTTTCATTTCAATTCTAGATCATTGTTTTTACTTTAGAAAGGTTTGAGCCTTATTTCTTGGAATACTTGTTAGTGGATGTTGATTTTTTTTTTTAACGAGGAATCATTTTATACTTATTATGTCAGTAATAGTAAACCAACTGATTTCCGTTAACAAAAATGTTAAAAACTTTAATCTTACATTGGAGAAAAAAAACAAACAAAAAAAACAAAAAAAAAAAAAAACACTTCCCTAAAATGAACTCCAGTTTATAGAGACTGACCTGCTCGAGACACTGCACAAATTTGTTCCCAGGCTTTAATGTATGCCGGATCAAAACTTTGAAGCTTCACAACACCTTCATATGCACGTTTCTTAAAGTCTGGATCATTGTCAAAACGAACTTTTGATTCCTGTTCAGAGAAAAAAAAAAAAAAAAAAATTTAAATAAAAAAGTCAAACAATAGTCAAGGCTTAGGTACATCTCAAAAAAAAAAAAAAAAAAAAAAAACATTGTTTACATATTCATTATGCCTATAAGTCCTAATTCAGTTAGTAATGCTTGTATTCATTCCTCATCAGTGACAATCCCTTTATTTTCAATTACAAACAAATATTTTTTAAAAAATTTAAATATTCAGTATTCAACCAAAATCAAGGCCAACAACAGTTGTGATTAAAGGGCCATTATAAACTCTATGATCATTTCATAAAAGCTGAATAGTATATATTTTGCCACTGCTATATACAGTTTTGAATTCAGAGTTGTCCCCCTAAACTGGTTACCACCCAAGAAAAGCCCAGTCTGCCATACTATTTAACCCACAGCTACAGTGATTCATAGATTCATACTTTTCCTCAGGGTATTTGCATGAAATTGAATGTAATGAAACTCAACTGTAATGTGAACTCATCTTTCTGATTTCTTGTTTCAAGCCACTACAAGACGAGGATATTAGTCTAAATAGATTAATGTACAACAATTTCAATGGCTGAAATATATGAAAGAGAAAACCAAGTCATACCTTGTAAAAAGCCTGCAGGTCAGAAATTGGTGGCGTCTCCTTATCATAGGTTGGAAATGTATCTTGCAAGTGGGCAATCAACATGCCAAACTGAGTACCCCAGTCTCCAAGATGACTTAAACGCAGTACACTGTGACCCACCCACTCCAGTAATGTTGAAATAGCATCACCAATAATTGTGGACCTAGAGAAAGAAAAAGCATGAAATGAATAAGATATTCATATTTCAAAAGAGAATAAAAAAAAAATGGTAAAAGTAAAGAACAAAACCCATATTAATTATTGTTTCAGTTCCATCTTTGGTTTTATCAGAAGACAAACACATTTGGTGTTCAAGTCTCACTACCATGGAGCAGTGCAAATCATACATACACAGAAAACAATTTGCCATGAGCTCTCAACAATACATATTTGGATGTGCATTAAGAAAGTTAATTGAGAAATTAGATGTGTTGAGAGGTTCTTAAATCAATCCCTGAGCCAGGTGGTTCAGACCAAGAAGCAGTGGAAAGAGGAGTGGCAATAACTGAGCAGTACTAAAATGTTTCTTGATATTAACAGCAGAATGAGAAAAATGTCTCTGCCCGTAGATCAAATAACAGGTTCAGTTTGAAATTCTTTAAAGGTTATCTGAAGCCACAGACACCTGAAGAAGGCAAGGAAAGTACCAGGAACAAAACATTGATAATACTGACAATAATGTTGATAACAAAGATAAGGACATTAGTCCAACTTAACTAATGTAAATAAACAAATAACAATACATTCTATATCTGTCTATATTTCTGGGATGAGGTATTGTAACTATTTACATCTTCCAGATTGTTGTCCTCATCTTTCTTGCCATATTCATGTTTCAGTCATTGTATGCTCTAACCTTCTTTAGATGATATATGTCGACTAACCAAACCTGTTATTTATTCCATAGATGTAGATTTTTCTAATTCCATGTATCGTGTTTTTTTTTTCATTTTTTTTTTTATATCTCAATTTCATTTAATTCCCTTTAGTAACTCAACTCTCCAAGGTATTGTGGCCAGGTATTGAACTTTGGGTAATGTTATTTTTTGCATTACTCAACCAATGCTTTTATCCAGGGTCAGGTGTCCTTGGGGATAAACATTTTGGTTCACTAACAACAGTCCGAACAATGTAAACATTATGTCCGGTTTCCAAAACTCAATTTAACTATGGAGTCTCATCAGCAGCAGTTAAATTAAGTCATGTAGCTACGTTCTTCTGTGTCCATTTTTCTCATATATGTATCTGAAAGACATAAGATGTCAGTTCAAAATGAAGAAAGGTTACTTCTTTGTTTTCCGATTCATGCTAATTAATGGTCACAAAATTTATATTAGTGTTGCAGTAAAAAGCAAAACTTAAGATGAAAAAAAAAATTGATAAAAAAAAAAAATTACAAATAAAAATATTATTTAGCTTAAAATCTTTTTTTTTAAATTGTGGTAAATTAAATGGTGACAACTTTTACAACTCTTGATATCTATTCTCAGTTAAGGCCCCATCTACAAGACAAAGGTTTAGAGAGGCTAAAACATATATATATATAAAAGCAATAGATTAAAGTTGTTCAAATGAAAAAAAAGGTGTATATTTTAAAGAGAAAAGAGGAGCTGCAAATATTTTGGGTTATAATGCGGATTTTTTAAATTTATTTATTTAATTTTTAAAAAAATATATATTCATACTTTATTTTCCATATTTTTGCTACGTGGGTTTCAGGCAAAGAATGGTTATTTTCATATTATTTAAAAGAATTCATTTTTTTCTTCATGATTTCTTATGTTTAATGATTGTCTTTTGTGCGTGGTAGTAATCCAAATTCTTCTTGGATTGGTGGAGAAAATATTCCTCTGCTTAAAAGGGAATTAAACATTTATTCAATAAATAAATAAATGTGTGTATGCATTTTTGTTAGTAAGTGTATTCAGAAAAATATTATAAACTGTAAAATTTTTTTGAAATATATACTGCAAGATAAAGGTCAAAAAGCAAGATGAATAAAACAGACTTCTACCTGAGATGGCCCACATGCATCTCCTTGGCAATGTTTGGTGAAGAAAAATCAATGACAACACGGTGTTTCTTGGTAATATAGGGAGGACGAACACCTTGGACAAGTAAATCACTGATCAGTTTGGAAATGAAATCCCGACCCAAGAAAGTGTTGATGAATCCAGGACCTGCGATTTCAACCTGTAGAAGAGATTTTAGAAAAAACATGAAAATAATTGAAGGACTAGAGGATCCTGAATGAGGGTTACCAATTGTTTCCGACCTATTTGCTCATATTGAGAATGTAACACATTGCATATGAGTTAGCAAAGGTATTTTGCAGATTACTTATTTTATTACAAGCAGGGTGAATTTGATCATTGCATAGAAAATCTTGTAGCCTTATGCTTAACCGGATTAAGTCACAATGATATTTTGCTATCAATATTATCTTCCAACTAATTTTTTTTTTATTACAATCCATTAAGATTACTTTCTTGTTTAGCATTTCAGGTTTTGTTTGTTTGTTTAACAGCATATCAACTCCTTATGAGTCATTTAATTCCAAAATTTTATTTTCTGTGAGCTTTGGCCAATTTTTTTTTTTAATATATTGTTGGTATTTTTTTTTCCAATAATGTATCACTGGTAAATTTTAATATTAATTTTTTTTTTTTTATTAAGGAAATGTATTCCTAATAATTTTTTCTAATGTTTTGACCCCAATTTGGGGGTTTACTATTTTCTCATAGTTGAGACCCTAACAGGTGCTACCACCCTAGGTCAGGGTAGACCTGTAAACAGCAATTAAGAGGTGGTTTAACACTCCACAAAACCTCTCGATCAGGGGTCTCATTACCAGATGTAGTTTATCGTCATACTCAGAATGAAGCATTTTCTATCAAAAAAAAATAATAATAATAAACATGTCAGTCAGTGCATGGCCAGTTGCATTAGAAAATACCCTTTTTTCTGTTTTCCAGGTTGGCTGTGAATCCTGGATATTCTATGTGACTAAAGAGGCCAAGCCAGCATTAAAATATATTCTAAAATCAAAATGATTTATGTTTTGAAGAAAAAAAAATTTTTTGTCTTATTTAGAATTTATCAATTTCTCATTTGTTTTTTATCTATTGTTCCAGAGGAATTTCATTAAAATGGATAAAACTTTAAGAAAGCCTGTGTGAGATCCACTACATAAGTAATAATTAATGTCCTTTTTCTATTTTAAAGCATTGAAAAAGCATCTGACTCAAGACTTTTTTAATTGCACATTTGTTTTTGTTTTTTTTATAAAAAGAAAACTGCTTAAAACTTAATTCAGTGAAAATTGAAAGCACAAAAATATATTGGACTATTTGGAAAATGTTTTACCGTAATATCCTTTGACAATGACCCGGCGTCATTTTGGTTTACTTCAATTTACCCACCCAAACCCCAAAACTGATATCTGATCATATTTTGTGCAGTGGGTTGGAATAAAAATCTTTCAGCATCTCCTCGTTTATACATGAAACACAAGACAAAAAAAAAAAAAATACTCACTTTATCAATATAAGGAGTATCCGGCAGGTTTTGTAGAATCTGCTTAGCAACTTCATGTGGATTCATTTTGACTCCAAGAGGTTTCAGTTGCTAAAAGATAAAAAAAGAGCATCTCAAAAACATGTTAAAATATCTTTGCTTTCAAGCATGACCTCAAATGCTTTACCAAATACCAATGGTCTACACGTTAAAACTGTACGACAAACTGAAGTGGCTTGTAGGCTCAAATTGGATGAAACAGATCATAGTTACCTCCCCTGCGCCATAAATTAGGAAACTATTCATACAGATTTTGATAGTTTCTCGTTTAAAATTTAGGACATACTGGCAATGGTAGAAGAGAGTAGAAAGACTGCATTCGTGTCAGTCTTCAAAATGGATAGAACCTACCAACCTTGAAAATCAGCAAACGATTTAAAGCATTTAAAAAAATGAATCAACACCAAAACAGATTTTTATCTGTATCTAACAGTTTTCAAATCATAGTTTTTATAATCCATAAATTGTTCAAAATAATATTCTACCCTTCCCTTGGATTATCATTGATGTATTTTTTGATCTTCCTGTGAAGAGATAAAGAGAAAACCTACAATAGTATCAACTAATAAAAAAACAAAAAATGAAACTAATGAACTAAAAATAAACAAACAAAAAGAACTAATGAATGAATGAAACTCATTTTAAAATTTCATACATTTGTGACAAAATTAAATTTTCTGTCACATTGTATTAAGATCTTTATGCATTCACATCACCACTAGAATTTGGGAGTAAAGTATTTTCTGCTCTACAAATAGCGCCTATTTGGGGCACCTATTTCACTTTCAAAATGCGAAGAGTACCAATCAAAATGGAATTAAAAAATATTTTTTTTTAAAAACTGGACTGGATCAACAATAGATTTTTTGATGCAAGTGGGACAAGTGAATAAATAAAGTTAGATTACAGTGGCAAAATTCCCTTCAACATCCACTGCAGCTTAAGCTTATAATTCTCTCTCATCTAGGTTAGCAATTGTAAATCGTAGCATCCCCAGCCAAGGCTTTATGTTCATCTCTTACAAGATTCTCATTCCAATTTTTATACTATTTTTTTTTTAACTTGCAGAAATTAACTTTTTTTTAATTTTATTTTTTTAATTTCCATCCCAATTATTTTTTCTCTCTGTACTCCTCTCCTAGTCAATGAGATTTTCACTTGTATCGGATAGAAAAGTTTCCCCTCTACAGATAACAGCGGCAACCATTTTCGCAATGCATAGTTAAGGTGTGTTGCATACTAATGCCTTCATTTTTGTTTATGTTTTTTCAAACCTGGGTCATAGATTGTCATTCCAGTGCAATTTTTAAAAATTATGTTTTTATTTCATTTTGATTGGCGCTTTTCCAAGATGGCCTTGCACTATTCCCATTCCAATAGTAAAATGGTATAGTACACTGATTACCAATTTTATCTCAGAGACTTTGTTAGTTTATTCACAACTGATTATTACAAAGAACATTATGGAGAGTAAACTTGTAATAAAATAGCTGGTTACTCGTTTCCAAGTATGCTCATCTCCTAGAGCATTTGGGTTTCTTCAACACTCACTGAGCCAACTTGTATTTTATAATCCATTTATCATGAGTAGACTTTAGTTACTGCTTCTGAAAGAGAACACACAATCTGGTATGATCAAAAATTTGAAAAGGCTGATATGCTCATATCTCGTCTGAGTCCATCACTCAAATCTACAAATCTACTATTTGTCTATGCATGGAATACTGTTGCTATATATGGTCTGGGATCCACACTGTTCATCTCAAGGTTCTTGGCAAAATCCAAAGACAGATATGCAATGTGATTAGTCCTGACTTAAGGTCTTGACTCCAATCATGTTCTCGCTGACATAATGTGGCTTCCCTCAGTCTTTTCTATAAATATTTTCATGGCATCTGCTCTGCTGAGCTATTTTCACTGGTGCTCTGACTGCATGAATTTAAGCATACTATTAGGCTGGCATCTCAGTCCCACCCTTTTACTGTCAAAACAGTTAAATGAAACCACCTCTTCTACTTCAACAGCTTCTTCTCTCACACTTCCTGACAGTTGAACTCCCTTCCTCTTACTTGCTTTCCTGATAACTATAATCTTCAAAAATTTAAATGTTAATCGACATCTTTTGTTGCCTTGATCCCCATTCTTCTTTTTAACCTCTTCCATTCTTCTTTTTATTCTTTCCTCAAAAGTATTTTCCCTTAATTACACGCTTTGATAGCTTTTGAACTGTTCTGTTCACTCACAAGGCATAGGTCAATCCATGGTATCTTTTTCAGGCTATTCCCAAAGGTGTCACATGCTGGGAACATCTCTCAAGGGTGATATTATCAGGAGGTCACCTATCTGACAAATTGACCACAGTGATTTTCAGCTACTTCCAAAATCGAAAGATGCCCTGAAAGGACAAAAATTTGCTGATATCCAGAAACACATAACTACAGTAATGAAAGATATTTTGGAAAATGTAGAATAACAATACAATAAACAACACTCAGGTACCAGCAGCCAATCACAGCCCAAGCAATGGACTATCCCACTTTAGCATAATGAGATGCTCCATTGCACCATAAATAGCTCTCTTTCTCAATGTTGAATTAGTATTCACTCAGCTTGCTCCACAACTGAGTGTTTATCTTGACCATGTGATTGTTCGACAGAAAATTAATAATATTTCCAGCCACGGCACAATCATCTCAAACTGTGCATAGCTTCACAAGGTGAATACTTTGAAGCTAACAGCAACCAATCTTCTTCTATCTTCTTTTATTTTCCATCTCCTCTCAGGACATGGGTGATCATAGTTCTCCACAACTTCTTATCCCATTTTTCTTTTTACCATACCTCCACCATTCTGCCAACTATTCACATGAGTAGGTGGCCCGATATCTCCCCCTACTGTGTCACATTTTTCAAGCCTTTCTTTTTCATGTGTCCAAGAAATTTTACCTGTCTTTTCTGATTTTGAGCATAAATGTTCTTTTTGTCTCCATTTTCTTTAAGACTTTCTTGTTGCAATCAACAGTGACCAGCTAAACAAATGTTGTTTTCACAGATCTTTCCTGGAAATTAAATTGTCACACCTTTAATGAAATCATAAATGTAGAAAAAAAATGAACTTAACTCAAAAAGGTGATATCAACACTGAATGCTTGTTAATTAAAACTAAACCAAATCTGACACCAACCTGACTAATAGCCATTGCACTGTTACACTGATAGTCTCCAAACTTGGGGTTAGAACTTGGCACAACCATGACAGGTGCATCAGATCCAAGTTGGGGGAAGGCAGAATGGATGGCCAAGGCAAACACTTGCTCTATGATGCTATTCACACTTAACATATATTCAGGTTGTTTTTTTTTCTCAAGTTCCAGATTCTGCAAAATAAATACATGAGAAAATCAGAAAAGAAAGAATGAATTCATAAGTTGAGTTTGATGGAAAACAAGATTAAATGAAAATAATTGACAAAAATACTTTCTTCATTTATGAAGAAATTCAAATTATTGAATTATTGGTGATAAATAAATATAGACTCATCAATAAACTTAATGCAGATCTATATGCGAATCTTATCTGGAGGTTCCCGACTTCATAAACAACCAGATAGCATGGAGGGTATGAATAACAAAATGAAGGATGGGAATGGCAGAGTCAGGCCGAGAATGGGAATGGTACACCTAGAATTGTGCCCTAGATATGAATAATACACCCAGAGTTGGGCCCCAGAATCAAATAGTACACACAGTATCGCACCCCAGATGCAAATAGTACACACAGTGGCGCATCCCAGATGCAAATAGTACACACAGTGGCGCACCCAAGATGCAAATAGTACGCACAGTGGCGCATCCCAGATGCAAATAGTACACACATGGCGCATCCCAGATGCAAATAGTACACACTGTGGCGCATCCCAGATGCAAATAGTACACACAGTGTCAGGCCGAGGATGGGAATAGTACACCCAGAGTTGCACCCTGCACATGAATAGTACGTCCAGTGTCGCACACCAGATGTAAATAGTACACATGGAGTCAGGCCATGGATGCAAATAGTATGTCCATAATCATCAAAATAGTGTCTTCAAAGATTAACCTTAGAAAAAAAACAAAAAAGGAAAAAAAACAGCAAACTATTATCGTCTGGAATTTGGTTCCATTTTTTTGCATTTCAAATTATCAAGAAACAATTAAAAGCAAATAATCCAAAATACTTCACAGGTAAATCTCACTTCAATCAAATATAAACACCAACATAAAGTCAAGAAATCTTTTTTTTTTTTTCATTTACCTTCTTCAAGTGATTGATTTGGTACATGAGTTTAGCATTTTCAGTCCGCAGTGCATCCAATTCTGAGGAAACAACTGCACCATCAGGGATGATTAGCCCTTTCTTGAGGGCTTCAATTTCAGCCTCAATTTTTGTGATTTCATTTTCCTAAAAAGACAGAAAAATGGCTATAGTTTTTTTTTTGTTTTTTTTTTATATGCCCCCACCCCAAATCATCTACTGTAAAAAATTAAATTTTTTGTGAACAACAGTAAATGTGTTTTACATCACTTGAATTCTTAGATCAAATATTCATGCTCCATTAGGACTTAAAGGTGGCAATATGACTGTACATTTGTAACTTAGCCATGAGTGTCTGTGGACAAATTAATGTGTTGTCAATGAAAGGCAAGATCCTAGAATAGCAAAGAGAAATTCAAGTTTAATGATACCCATTTTTTTTTATTCTTACTTAAAAGCTATTTATTTCAATTGCTGAAAGGCATTCAACATAGAAAGTTGTTAAGAAAGCAATAAGATGATGAAAATAATTAAAAATTAATAAATGCTGATAAAACTTCATATTAGAACACTGTACCCATGCCATCAATAACAGTAATTGTCAGAAAGATTTTATATTGAGATGCAATGAAACAAAAGTCTTGAAATAATGTATTGTAATTCAATAAAATGGAGATAATTCACAACTAAAATAGAAGACAATAAGCCATTTTAACCTGTTTCCTTTATATTTTTTAAAGGGTCAATGGTATCTATGATTGATTAATCTTAGCATTATATAAATCACTTTTTGACAATATCATTTCATGCTAAAAATTGTGTGTTTAATATAATAGTGACTTGAAATGGAAACATCTCAACACCAAATTGAAAGAAGATGATCACTTAGACAAAAAATATCCATGTGCCTTGCAAGAAATTAAGACTACAATCTATGAAATGTAATAGTAAGTATTTGCCCACTGCCCCATGCAGCAAGATATGGCATAAAGCCAAGTTTTATTGTGGAGTATCTGAGCCCATGGGCTCTGGCAAAAATTCCATGTAGACGGAGTCAGTTTTCTGAGATGAGACACTGCCCTTCGATATAGCCTCGTCTGGTGGATACCCTCGGACATGTGCCAGGTAAGAAATGTAGTAGTAAATGAACAGATTAATTAAATGGTTCATTTTGCTTGGGAAGAAATTTTGCTTATACAAAAGATAAATATTTTATTTATACAGACTCATAAATTTACTAACTTAAGTCAATTTAACTTCCTTTTTCACTATAGAACATGACATGAAATAAATAATTATTATAAAGTATATAGAACATTAACACACACACACACATATATATATATATATATATATGCTTTCCATAACAAATCAAGCTATTGGTTATGAACAACCCTACTAATATAAAGCCTGCTAAAGAAAAAAAACATGAAAAGCCCAAACTAAATGGAAAAGACAGACGAAGAAAAAAAAAAATCAAACATAAAAAAAAAACAAAATAAAAAACAGTGACCTACATAAAAACCTGAGGTGTTCAATGCTTCTATAAAGTAGACTAAAACAAAACATTAATACTAACAAATCAAACAGCATTCAGAGACTCAGATTCAAATTCTTACTTTGAGTTTTACACTAAGTGAACATGAAATGAAAAGAACCAGTTCATGTCATCTGATGATGAATTAGATCAGAGTAACAATTTGGAACTGAGTCCAAGTGTCACTTGGTTTTTTAGCAGATGCTTCTCAAATGTGAATACTAGTAGCAATCTATTGGACAGCAGCTGGTTATAATGACAGTAAAGCCACTCCTTAGTACTGTGAAAAAGGGTGGAGGCTAGTAAGTATTGCAGTGAAACTCACAGAAATTTTAAGTTTGAATTCTGGACGATTGTTTTTGCCTCAAATTCATGATCTTAGTTCTTTCTTTTTTTATCCCTTCTTTTCCCTTGGCCATTGGTTTGCTCAATTACAAGACAAAATACCTAAGGTTTTTCCAAACAAGTATAACTATTTACATTATTATTATTATTATATATATATATATATATATATATATATATATATACATAAAAATAATTTATTTATATATATATATATATATATATATATATATATATATATATATATATATATACACACATATATATATACATATACATATATGTGTGTGTGTGAAAAATATAGAAAATAGGAAAGAACTGGTTAGGTAAATAATCCAAGGTTCCTTAGTATTTTTGTCATTATTCTTAAAAAATAGTGCTCGATACAAAAGTAGAGCATAAATATAATTATTAATTTAAAAATATGATTCCAACTCGCGACATAAGAGGTCTCATGTTTCAAAACAAGAGCCAAAAACTTCAATATAATTATTTGAATTAAATTGAATTAAAGTAAGCTCTGTTCCATCTTCAAGCGAAATTTTTTTGGAATAACTTATTTCTGAAATTTACGTGTTTTAATAGTATATTCATAATTGAAATCAAAATTTCCATGGTAACAGCCAGGACGGATTGTTTAAAATAGGTAGGGGGGTGTTGGGTGTTAATAATAAGTATCAGTATAGACTTACTTTCATAGATGTCAAGTCAGGGTAAGGTGGGAGTGTCTAAATTTGAAACGGAAGATGTTTTCGCCTAGTCTGGCTTAAGTGTCTATGGAGATTTATTTATTTATTTATTTTAGTTTTTTTATGAAAGGGATTTGTGCGTATAAAAACTGCCGTAACATTTGTTTTTTGACGACTTCATAAAGGGTTATCTTTTTTTGTAGGGTATTTAAACTATTTATTTGGGCTATGGATTATAAAAGTTATTATATTGTATGCTTGTTTTTAGCTAGTTAATTCAGTGCGTAAATTTGATGATGTCGGCAAAAAACCGTTAACTCATGTCTATTGTTTAATAGATTTTTATTATTTAGAAACTTAATAATGTGCAGTTTCTCATGGAGGCACAAAGGGCATGGGTCATCCCAAGCTTTACAAGTTCTAGTCCTATTTATAATTTTCCATTTTACTTTAGGTGTCCTATAAATTTCCTTCAGATGCCAAAAATATTTGGATAGGGAAGTCTGGTTTCTTTTATTTATATTGTTGAAAGAGCACTTATGCTGCCTCCATCTGGCTTTAAAATCATTCTTCGTAGACCCAATGTATATCATATTAGTATTAGGACTCTCAGTGGATGATATAGTACATTGGTATACCACAGATTTGATGCAGCATTTATTTTCTAATGGACAGTCTTCTGGGTTTCTACAATCACATAATTTTTCACTGTTATTGTCTGATTTAAGTGTAGGGTTTTTATTAATACTATTCAGGCATGGGGGTTTGTTCAAGATTTTATTATTGTGTTTTTTTTTATTATACCTTCTAGATTATCAGTGCAGCTGTAACTCAATTTTAGGGTGTTCTTATTAAATATATTACTAAGCCTACTATTGGTGGGGAAGTGTTTATCAATTTGAGCTAAGAATTTCTGTCCTAGTTTAATACTAACCATTTGGTTGAACGGAAGGGTATACCAAATGATTTTTCTTTTTTCTTTTGGCCAGTGCAATTGACTCTATAGTTAATGTTTGCATTTTTATAACCACTATTTTTTAGGGCAGCGTTATAGAAGCCATTGTGTTGTTGGAATATTTCTTTATTAGCGGAGTTAATGCTAATTCTATTTTCTATTGATGAGGATATATGTTTAATTATGGATAGAGGGTGGTTAGACTTCGGGTGTATATATAAGGGGTTAGCATTTGGTTTTCTATAAGGTTGGTATGTGTTAATACTAGACTTACCAAGCAACACATACCAACCTTATAGAAAACCAAATGCTTTCCAAGTTTTTGCTCCCCTTGCCATGGCCAGGTATTGAGCTCACAACTCTTTGGATTAAGTTTATTTGGGTCACTAAACTAATGCTTTTATCAATTGGGCCGTGGTGAAACTTGGACACCAATTCACTGTGGAAGACTCAGAAATCAGTGCTTATTTTATACATCTGTGCCTTAGTGAATTACTTCATGTTTTAATAAAAGCAGCATTCTTTAAGACAAAATTGTTATTAGATTCATTAAGATGAACAATTAATACATGACATGTGTTGCTTTGTAAAAGAACATCTTTTGTGTTCATATAATTTATTAAAATTTCTAGTAATTTCACCAATGTATTTTTGGTAACTTATTACATTTAAAATCTATTAAGTCCAAAATTATCTGCATTTTCACCATGACATATCTTTAGGTTTGTCACACTGCCTTCTGCTCAGGTATGCTTATTAGTTGGTACAACTATAAGCATTCATGTGAAGAAGACACCTAATCAAAGGTTGAGCTTGATCATACCAATTTCCTTGCTGCTGTTACAGTGTGAACATGGCTGCTCTTCTAGCAGTGTGCACCAAAAAGGAACAAAAAGCTGTGATCCGAATCTGCGGAGAACACACTACCTCATCAATGATTACTTGCTGGTTCACCATTACCAACTCTTGAGATTGCTGAATCTTCTCATTAGTGGCAGAGGTTGACAGGTGTCCTGCTCCTTCTTTTTGCATCACACTTGTCCGGCCACTTTCAAACATCTCAATCCAATCATACACATTTAAATGCAGTAGTGCACTGTGACCTTATTGTGTTAAAAGCCTCCAATGAGTTTCAGCTATGGACATGCCTTCCAACCAGAGAAATTGGATTACTGCCCTTTGTTCCACCTGGGTACACGTTGCTAGTGAAACGGTCATGTTTACACTGTAACAGCAGCAAGAAAACTGGTGTGACCAAGCTCAAACTTTGATCGTGTGACCATAATAGTACCAACTATAAGCACACATGAACAGAAAGCAGTGTGACAAACCTAAAGTTATGTTATGGCAAATGTGAGGATAATTTTTGACTTACTCTTGCATTCTTTTATCTTTTAATTTCAGCACTCCAATCATTAGTGCTGTCATAGCCTGAAAACAGTAAGATAATTTTTGTGACTTGTTTAAAAGTTCTATGTTTCAGCAAATAATCTAGTTGGTGTGGGATGGTGAAGCCCCTCTTACACTCCTGTGCAAACTATAATTTAAAATGAGTTGGTGCTTCTTGATTGAAATATGATCATGTTACATAACTACAAAGATATTTTTAATAGGACACACGTCTTTTTATTTTATTTAAGTATACTTTTAAAAAGGTCACCACTTTTGTAACTGAACTAAACATTTTTTTTTTATCAATAATTGTTTTGAAAGTAAAAAAAAAAAAAAAACTTTTAAAAGACACAACACATTAAAAAATTATTTCTTTTTTTATTTAATGGACTTTTAAACGCAGCAAATGAGTGCTAATTTTTCTTGTGTTTTCAGGCTGGCTCTTGTGGTCGAATGTTCGAGCGCGGGTCGAAGACATTGTGAATAATATTCATTTTTTTTCCGGCACATCGTTAACATTTTTTTTATAAGAATCTTTTTTTTTTTTTTTTTTTCAGAAGTTAATAAAAAAAATTATATTTATTTGACGTTACAATCATAAGGAACATGTTTAAAAAAAAAAAAAAAAACATTACCGTTTTTTTTCTTTTTTAGTTCTGTTTGAGATCGAATTTTACAAGTCCAAATTTATTTTTTGAACGTAGTTTTTTTTGTTTAAGACGTGTCCAAACAAAACATAAAACAAAAGTGAAACAGAAAAAAAGAAAAATGGAGGAAAAAAAATCTAAGTGAATTAAAGTTGATTAAAAACAGTATAATTTGGAAATAGTTTATAAAAACTAAAAACACGATCAATTAAGGAAGGAATAAACTTAAAGTATCAAAGTCTTAATAATGCAAATCATTTAAATCGCAAAGAAAGTGTTTGTATCTGAAGAGTTTAAAAAATAATTCTAAATAGCTTTGAGTAAATAAAATTAAACTGCGTAAACAATGATCAAAATCAAAAATGAAAATAAAAAATTCCAAGTATTAATAAAAAATTAAAATACGGCGAACCTGCCGAATTAGAGTTCGATTTTTTTAGCAATAAAATTCATTCCTTTTACATTAAAATTTGCCAATTTCCCACAAAGAGCTGAATTTTAGTATTACAACTAGAGTATCTATAAAGTTAAATAACAAAATCAAAACTTTTACGAAAACTTAGCTGATATTTTTGCAATTATAAGTTCATACGACAAAGAAACGGCATTTTCCAGAGATAGAGGAAAACATTCATGTTTATAATTTCCTGAAGAGACAGTTACGTTCAGTAATGAATCGTTCATGTCAACAAATCGCTAGAGATAGATGGACAATGGTTATCCGATTATAAAAGTAGAAAACTTACAGCCTGTTGAGCTCGAAGCTTTAGACTTTCAATATTGTCGCTTTTTTCTGCTGCCATGTTGTTGGCTGATGCAAGCACATGGACTGCTAGGAGTGAGTAGTCAACAAAAAGCGCTACCAGAAGGAGGCCGTCTTTGTCAGTCACGACTTATCGATAACACAGCATAACAGAATTGTTTAAAATTCCTAGAATTGTGATAAAAATTAAAAGTAAAAAATTTACTTAGATTTTTACAACAAAGTTTTTATATTTTAAATAATGTTTTTTTTTTTTTATGGATGTATCTTTTTACAGTAAACAACTTGACTCGAAAGGTTCGTTGAACATAGACGTTACATTTGAAAATTTATTAAAGTTTAAATAATAAATGAAATGTCGTTTTAAACGCTATTTTTAGTGGATACCCATATTTGAGTAGATGTTCGGTTATTTTAAATAGTATGATAAATCTTATTAAAGAAAATGTGCCCTCTGGAAGACTAGAACCTTATCGTGTCCATAAAAAATAAATAAAACAAAAATTACAATAAAATATTATAGTGTAGCGGACCCCCTGGAGTGGAGCGCGATATGAAAGCGCGGCCCGAGCGCCCCCGTATCGAAAAAGGTAATGAGGTCACAAGAGGCCGGTAACATTTCTCGTATCGAAGACGTTAAATCTGACAAGGTGAAACAACACAGACGACAGAACGAGGATATGTAGGATTAATACGAATTTATTATATAAAGAAAGAGTAATAATGGTGGTTGAACTGGTCGAGGTGCAGACGTTCCGGTCGGGTCGACGGTTGGAGTCGGGATGCTGACGTTCCGGTCGTGCCGACTCATTCATTCATTAAAACAAACGAGTATAGACCCCAAACAAACACGTGTCATTCTCACTATCGGACAGACAGTGAACCCGGACAGGTTTTCAACACGTGCGTCAATGAAAATTTCAGCTACTTTTCCTTTTTTTTTTTCTTTTCATTACATAATGTTAACATTTATTACTTAATACTCAAAAAAAAAATGATGTGAGAAAATTCCAGACATTTGTATTTTTCCAAGCAAATTATCTGGACACTCATTATACACATCTATAAAAGAAAGAAAAAAGATACGAGAAAGTCTGTGCACCCTTTACTTATTCTTTATCTTAACATTCTGTGGAATTCCGATCTATATTTGATCTAAATTTCTATTTTGCGTCTGTTAAATCACACTATACGCGTATCCGAAACCTAAACAAAGCATTTTCTAAAGAAATAATGAATGTTATGTATTGATCAAACATATGGTTATTACTTTTATTGATACCTATAGCGGATACTCATATTTGAGTAGACGTTCCATTTATTATAACAGCATTATATTTGTCGGGTTACCTCCTCCTAATTTTCGAAACTGCTACTAGCAGACGCTCTCAGGACTATAAATATTCTGCGATAATTTTTATCCTTCTCTTCTGATCTTATTCGTCAACATGTAACCTCTGGCGGAGAACGCGGTCCCTTTGGGAAACGCATGAACACACACACACACACACACACTTTGGACATTAGGTTTTCACATTTATTTGACACATACGCCTTTATCTTTGTCATTTGTATACATTTGTTGTTAATACATTATCATTTGTTTGTACATATATATTGGTTCTTGTCGTTTCTTTAGATTTCTTTACTTGGACTCACATGTGTGTTGTGGGCATTTCAGGAGACACACATATTTATCTCTCAATGTATACACCGGCCTGCAACATATTTCGTCTACTGAACATTCGAAAAATCTTATTAAAGAAAGGGCGCCCTCCGGTAGGATTCGAACCTGTGTCCCCTATTGCAGGAGAAACTGTCGTTAGATCCGATGTGCTTTAACCACTCGGCTACGAGTAATTAAGCAAGGTTCTATGTTTTAGGTCCTATATCGCCTTGTTTACGTTTCCGATATGAAACTGTACAGTTATGACTTTCAAAAATCTCAACGATAAATGTGTTTTTTTTCTTTCACATGAGGAAGCTATTATACAGTAAGGTCAACCGCCAAAATTATTACTATTATTTTGAACCCCCCCCAAAAAAAAACAGCCGAAACCAGATAAGTATAGTTTAAAAGATGTCTATAGTTAAGGGTGTGCATTATACACATGAACTACGTATTTTTTAACCTTCATGTATATCATTATATTCCGGAGAGTAAATTATGAACGCCTTCTAAACTTACACATGTTTAACAATTTAAATCATTAAAGAAATACTGCATTTTTCCCAGTAATTCACACATTTTAATTTACTTCCCTGTTGTTCGTGTCATTTTCTGATTCTCTGTACACGTGTCTTTTTCGTTGTCATTCGCCTTAAAACTTCAACGTAATTCATATGTTCAGTTCCGGACTGTCCAGGATGCCGGCTTGTCCGATGGCAAGTGAGATCCTGATAAGGTGGACCACCTATATCAAATAAAAATGCAATAGAGAAACAAACACAGACAATTGTTTTCGTAATGAAAAGTAATAAGCAAAAAAGAAAGTGAACGGGACACAAATAAGCAGTACATGAAAAACAACGACACAGCTAAGAAGGAGGAGGAATAAAAATACATTATAATAACGTTCTGTTTTTGTTTTTTCTTAAATCAAGTTCACACTAAGCAAGGCATCAAAGCCACTAAGACACAATGGGTTAATGAGCGTGGAAGAATTAGGAACAGAAACATTAATAATGAGCGGGAAGAGAAAAGAGTAATCAAGAGGATAGTAAGTAGCGATTGACATTGGATTGAAATTTTTAAAGATTAAAGTTGGCTGGAAAGCATGGAGTCGGAAGGGAGATCCACAAGCTAGAAGTGCGAGAAAATAAACTGTTAGCATAGAACTTACGGTTACATCTAGCTAACTCAAATGTATATCGATGAGACGTCGTCGCCAGTCAAGTACTGTGCTTAAATTAAAAAATCTACGTACAATAGCGAAGAGCGATATCTATTCCGTAATTATTTGCAGAAATGTGGCACAAGGCCAAAATGAGGAATGGGGAAAAGGACGGTCTTGTTCTGTCTTAACCATAAACTTAGTTAACCACAAACACTGACCCAAACATACAACAATATTCCTTACACCAAAACAACACATTCTTAATTAATATTCTTACAACATCCACTATACTACCTCAATGTCTCAATGAAAATCCTAACTAGTCCCCATATGTAAAATTCAAGTCTGGGTGGGGGGAATACAATTTAACAATTTTAAAAATCTAAACTCCAAAGAATATTTACAAATATAAAACAAAACTATTTGCAAGCAAAAAACAAAACAGTGTTAGTAATACCACCCCCAATCCTCATCCAAACAATCGCCATAAATGTATTTATAGAAAAGGCACGGGAAGGTACGTTAACAGTGGTGGGAACGTGACTGAAGCCGAGAGGCCAGATCAAGATTTTAGCAAGGAGCTCTAGGTATATAGCAGGGGCACTGGACCATATGTAGCTGCAATATTCTAAGCATGGACGAATGGTAGACTTATAGATATGTAAAATAGATTCTGGAGAGAAAAATAGTCTAGCACGACAGAATGAACCAACTTTCTTAGTAGCTGACTTAGCAATGGATTCAATATAGTCTTTCCACTTCATGTCAGCTGAGAATATTTTCCTGAGAAGGTGTAACAAGTCACTCTCCTGGAGCTTCTCAGGTGATTAATAGCGATCAATTTAGATTAGGAGACGTTAAAATTAACAAGACATCTTTACCCCAGTTAACAAAAGACTGTAGGTCGTTTTTGACATCAGCGGCCAATTTGACCTTATCGGACTTACTATCGAGACAAGTGTAAATTGTTGTGTCATCAGTATAGTTACTAATTTGAGAGCTGATACCATCAGGAAGGTCATTAATGAAAATTAAAAACAAAGTAGGACCAAGAATAAGGCATTGGGGGACACCAGCATTAATACGAAAGGATATAGAGGAGTGGCCGTTCAGGATAACATTCATTTCACGATTTGATCAGAAAGATTGGAATAGTTCAAAAATTTGTCCGGAGACACCGTAAATTTTCAGCTTGTGGAGAAGACCTGTATGCCAAAACCTGTCGAAAGTTTTGAGGTGTCCAAAGCTGCGGCCCGAGCTCCTCCGTTCTTATCTAGAGATTGTATCATTTTTCCATATGTATTTTTGAAAACGCTATGTATTTGATAGGAAAATTAAATGATTGCATTGTAGTTATGGGTGAGCTCATTTGTCTTCTGGCGACCAATATTTTTAGACTCAGTCTCCCACTGATGTCATTCTCAGCGTCCTTTTGTAGAACCACATTTCTATTGCCTCAAGTCTCTTCTCCATCTATGATGAGGTTGTCCAACATTGTTTGCAATATAGGAGTAGTGTCGGTGAAAGGATTTCGTGCCCCCCACCCAATCTATGATTCGGGGGAGGGGGCTTACTCTACTATATCTTAAATTTTGTAAGCTAGAATTCAAATAAAATACTACTTTTTATTGTAAGCAAAGAGGGACGAGATATTGCATAACAGTTCATGACTCTTTCTTTCCTCTTTCTTAATAATTTGTTTCGCTATTTCAATGCACATTCGAATTTCTGTGTGACATTTCTGACACCCCGTCTAATATTTCCCATGTAGTTAAATTTCTCTACTTGCTAGGTTTTGAGGTCTCCATTGATAATATCCCTCTTACTAACGATTGGGTCTGTACTTGCTAGGTTTTGACGTCTCCATTGATAATATCTCTCTTACTAACGATTGGGTCTTTACTTTCTAGGTTTTGACGTCTCCATTGATAATATCCATCTTACTAACGATTGGGTCTGTAGTTGCTAGGTTTTGACGTCTCCATTGATAATATCCATCTTACTAACGATTGGGTCTGTACTTGCTAGGTTCTGACGTCTCCATTGATAATATCCCCCTTACTAACGATTGGGTCTGTAGTTGCTAGGTTCTGACGTCTCCATTGATAATATCCCTCTTACTAACGATTGGGTCTTTACTTGCTAGGTTTTGACGTCTCCATTGATAATATCCCCCTTACTAACGATTGGGTCTGTACTTGCT